TTCTTTCCAGAATCTCTACTCACTAAAGAAAGAAAACCTAGCAAAAAAAAAAGAAAACCTAGCAGAAATAGAATTTTTAGAAAAATATAAATTGCCCAAAATGAACCAAGAAGATCAATTAAAATCAATTAAATAATTAAAATCAATTAAATCAATTAAATAAGCCAGTATCTTACAATGAGATAGAGAAAGCAATCAGAAGTCTTATTTTTTTTTTTTTTGGTCAGTCGTGGGGCTTGAACTCTGGACCTGGGCGCTGTCCCTCAGCTCTTCAGCTCAAGGCGAGCGCTCTGCCACTTGAGCTACAGCGCCACTTCCGGTTTTCTGATGGTTTATTGGAAATAGGAGTCTCACGGTCTCTCCTGCCCGGGCTAGCTTTGAACCACGATCCTCAGATCTCAGCCTCCTGAGTAGCTAGGATTACAGGCGTGAGCCACCAGCGCCCGGCAATCAGAAGTCTTCTAACAAGGAAAAGCCCAGGACCAGATGGATTCACTATGGAATTTTGTAAGACTTTTAAAGAGGAACTAATATCCATACTCCTCAGACTCTTCAGAGAAATAGAAACAGAGGGAGCTATCACAAAAAAAAAAAAAAAAACAACAAACTACAGACCAATATCTTTGATGAACACAGATGCAAAGGTCCTTAACAAAATTCTAGACACCAGAATCCAGAAACACATTTAAAAAAAACAAAAAAAAAAAAAAAAAAACTCCATACATTACGACCAAGTAGGTTTCATCCAGAGATGGAGGGATGGTTTAACATATGTAAATCAATAAATGTAATCCATCACATCAACAGATCCAAGGTCAAGAACCACATGACTATCTCCATTTACATGGAAAAGGCTTTTGGTAAAACACAACATTCATTCATGTTAAAAGCTCTGGAGAAAACAGAAATAGAAAGAACATTCCTTAAGACAATAAAAGCCATATACGACAGACCAATAGCCAATATTATATTTAATGGGGAAAAACTACAACCAGTTCTCCTAAAATCAGGAACAAGGCAAGGATGCCCACTTTCTCCACTCCTCTTCAATATAGTTCTGGAATCCTTAGCCAGAGCAATAAGGCAAGAAAAAGACATTAAAGGGATCTGCACACAAGGAAGGAAGAAGTTCAACTATCCCTTTTTGCAGATGACATGATACTATACCTCCATGATCCCAAAAACTCCACCCCCAAACTCTTAGAATTTATAACTTCGGCAAAGTAGCAGGATACAAAATTAACCCACAAAAACCAGTTGCCTTTCTGTACAGCAACAATGTACAAGCAGAAAGGAAAATCAAGGTAACAACTCCATTCACAATAACCTCAAAAAAATATTTAGGAATTAACGTAACCAAAGATGTAAAACAACTATTTAATGAAAACTATAAAAATGTAAAGAAATTATAGAGGACACCAGGAAATGGAAAGACCTTCCATGTTCTTTGATAGGCAGACTTAATAATGGCCATACTGCCAAAATTGATATACAAATTCAATGCAATTCCTATTAAAATCCCAATGGCGTTCATTACTGAAATACAGAAAACAGTCCAAAAATTCATATGGAAAAACAAAAGACCTAAGATAGCCAAAACAATTCCAGGCAAAAAGGACAACATGGGCGGGATCTCAATGCTGGACTTCAAACTCTACTATAGAGCCATAATGACAAAGACAACTTGGTACTGGCACAATAACAGACCTGAAGACCAATAGAATAGAAGATCCAAAAATAAAACCACACGCTTACAGTCAGTTGATATTTGACAAAGGAGCCAAAGACATACAGTGGGAGAAGCACAGCCTCTTCAACTACTGGTGCTGAACTGGGCAGCCACATGCAAAGAACTAAAAGTGGACCCCAGCCTAACACCATGCACTAACAAACTCAAAATGGATTGAACACCTTAACATCAAACCTGAAACTACTGCAGGACAGAGTAGGAGAGACACTTGAACTTACAGGCATAGGCAGGAGCTTCCTGAATAGAGTTCCAGGTCACAACAAATTGGAAAGAGACTTGACAAATGGGACTACCTTAAAATAAAAAGTTTCTGCACAGCTAAAGACAGCAACCAAACTAGAAAGACAATCAACTAATTGGGGAAAAAATATTTACCAGCAATATATCAGACAAAGGGCTAATATCCAGTAGATACAGAGAACTCAAGAAACAAATCCCTCCCAAACCTAATAAACCCATTACTAAATGGGCAAGGGAACTAAAGAGAGACTTCTCAAAAGAAGAGATAAAAATGGCAAAGAAGAGGCTGGGAAGTTGGCTCAGTGGCAGAGTGCTTGCCTTGCATGCCTGAGGCCCTGGGTTCGATTCCTCAGCACCACATAAGAAAAAGAAAAAAGCCAGAAGTGGCGCTGTGGCTCAAGTGGTATAGCGCTAGCTTTGAGCTGAAGAGCTGAGGAACAGCGCTCAGGCCCCACGACGGGACCGACCCAAAAAAAAAAAACAAAAAATGGCAAAGAAGGGCTGGGAAGGTGGCTCAGTGGTAAAGCGCTTGCCTTGCATGCCTGAGGCCCTGGGTTCGATTCCTCAGCACCACATAAGCAAAAAGAAAAAAGCCGGAAGTGGCGCTGTGGCTCAAGTGGAAGAGCTCAGGGAGAGCGCCCAGGCCCAGAGTTCAGGCCTCACGACCGGACCAAAAAAAAAACAAAACAAAAAAAAAAAGGCAAAGAAACACATGAGGAAATGTTCACCATCCCTGGTTGTAAAGGAAATGCCACCTTACCCCAGTCAGAATGGCCTGCATCCTAAATTCAGCCAACAACAAGTGCTGGAGGGGATGCGGAGAAAGAGGAACCCTATTACACTGCTGGTGGGAATATATACTAATACAACCACTTTGGAAAGCAGTCTGGAGGGTCCTCAGAAAGCTAAATATAGACCTTCCTTATGACCCAGCCATACCTAGGCATCTATCCTGAACAACAGGAACCAGGGTACAAGGACATATGCACCTCCATGCTCATTGCAGTGCTGTTTACAATAGCCAGGACATGGAAACAACCCAGATGCCCAAATACAGAAAAATGGATCAAAAAATTGTTGGTACCTATCAATAATAGAATATTATGCAGCCATTAGAAAGGATAAAATAATGGCATTCGCAGGGAAATGGATAGAACTAGGGAAAAAAAAAAACCATGTTGTGTGATTTATGCCAAGAGTAAAGAGACACATGGTCTCCCTGATAAGTGGATGTTAAATCCAAAATGTAAGGAGATACGACAAAGTAAACAAGACTCAAGAAACTGGTCTAATCATTACTAAATGACCTCATGCTGCTGACCACATATATGGTATACATGTGCACATCTGAGGGAAACTAAGAGGACACAAACAGAGGTAAACAGGGGAAAACATACAACAGCAGGATCCATCAGCTTCACGGGTCGTTGATCAAAATGAACTAAGCAACTCAGTGGCAGTGATGGGAGGGAAGGAATGAGTGGGAAAGAGGGAACAGCTGAAATTAAGCAAAAGGAAAGAAATGTACGTATCACCCAATGTGGAAGAAATAACTGTATTGTCAAAGCTCATAGAATTCATAAACTTTATAGACCATGATAAAGACAATTTGCCCCATGAAGGTTAGAATGTGTCTGTGACTTTAAGTATCACTATCCCACAACACTGTGAAATTTGTGAACTTTATGTAATCACTTAATCACAGTAAAAAAAAAAAAATTGCTATAAAAAACTTCCCATTTGTTCTTTTAAAATGGGATATTTGAACTAATATTTTTCTAATAATCAATTTTGTGAATATACTACAAAACATTGAATTATATATTTAGAAGTAAAGCTTAACACAAAGTATTCTTCAATTTAAAAAGAAAATTATTTTGTGTCTAGGTATTCTTTTTTGTGCTTAGCTTGCTTACTCGCAACTGGCAATTTACCACTTGAGTCACATCTCCAGTTCCAGATTTTGTCTCGTTAATTGGAGATGAACTTTTGTAGATTTGTCTGCCTGGGCTGGTTCTGAACCTCAATTCTCAGAGCTCAGCCTCCTGAGTAGTTGGGATTATAGGCATGAGCCAATGTGACCCAGCAGCATCTAAAATTTGATCCCTAATATCCCACGCCCCCCTCCCCCGCCCCCAATCCTGAGGATCTAGGCTCTGTCCCTGAGCCTCTTTGTGTTCAAGGATAGTGTTCTACTACTTGAGCCACAGCATCACTTCTTCCCCTTTTTCTAAGTAGTTTTCTGGAAAGAAGTCTCACAGATTTTCCTGCCCTGGCTGGCTTCAAACCATGATCCTCAAATCTCACCCTCATGAGTAGCTTGGATTACAGGTCTGAGCCACCAGCACCTGGCTCCTAATATTCTTTAATGTACTCAAGGTATGAGTGACATTTGTATACATAATGCTTGTTATACACTAATGCAATTACACATTTGCAAACACTGCTACTACCAAATTCAAAAAAAGTATATATTGACTATGGCTAATTCCTGTCAAACATGTTGTTTGGGGCTCAAAGATAAAATATTTCCTTCCTCTGTCTTCATCTCTATCAGAGTAGCTTCTAGCCAATCAGATAGAAACAGAAATCTACTGTTAGAACTTCCAGAAAAGCTCACTTCCTTGATAACAGAAAGACAGATTTAGTTGTTAATACTTCTTACCCTTTGCCTGTTCCCTCTCTTCTACTCAGAATTTGGACAGAGTAGCTAGTTGTGTAGCAATCATCTATGAACTTGAAGATGAAAGACAAACTAAAAATGGCTGGGCTGACAAAAAGATTTCCTTAGGGCAACTAATGCGATCCTGGACAGACTATTTCCAAACTGCTTACAACTACACAAGAGTAAATCCCACTCTTCATTGTGGTTGGGATTCCGTTACACACAGACCCTGACACAATACAACCCTGACACGATGATACAACCTTAATACACACAGTGAAAATTATGCTCTATTTACTGACAACCTACTACTTAATCACAAAAGAAAACCAACAGAAATCATACCTTGGCAGTAGTATTTGGTTTCAAACCACATCGGTAAGTCTTTGCCATTTGTGGAGTGAGCTGGATCTCCTTAGTGAGCTGCCTCCACTTCCTACACTCAGGTTTTGTACACTGAACCTAAATGGGAACAAGTCAGTATCAGTAAGTCAGCTAATTGTGAGTACCATTTCTATTCTCTTCTATAGGTGACCTGACCAACTTGTAAAAAAATTATTAACTTTTAAAAACTTTAAAAATTATTAATTATTAACTGGAGATCATAGACCCACACATGCTAGGCAAATGCTATGCCACAGATTTACATCCCCAGCCACCTTGACCAATAATAATCTTAGTATTAATAATTATTATTAATAATAATCTTAGTATTTTTCTTCCTCTTATATCACCAACCCTCCATTATTATCACTTTACCCCATTCAGGGTATTTTTCCCCCCTTTGGTGCTAGTACTGAGGCTTGAACTCAGGGTTTGGGCACTGTCCCTGGGCTTTTTTGCTCAAAGCAGCACTCTACCACTTGAATCACAGCTCCACTTCCTTTTTGTGGCTAACTGTAGATAATAGTCTCACGGACTTTGCTGCCTGGGCTGGCTTCAGAACCTTGATCCTCAGATCTCAGCCTCCTGTGAGTACCAAGGATTATAGGTATGAGCCACCAGCACACAGCTAATTTCCAATTTAATAGGTTCTGAGAACTGCTATAGGAACATTTTTCCAGCTTAAATAAAAAATAATGATCAGGGTTACAATGTAGTTATCAGCCAAAGAGTATATACACACTAAATGCAAATAAGGCATAGTAACTGACTGGATCCTGGAATTTTTTTTTTTAATTGTGAAAATACCATACAGAGGGGTTACAATTACATGGGCAAGATAATGCTTACATTTCTTATCACGCATTGTTGCCTCCTCCTTTGTTTCCCCTTCCCATCCCTTCCCCCCCCCCCCTCCCCCCCCCGCCAAAGTTGTAAAGTTCGTTTTTCGACATAACAACTTGTACATGTCATTGTTGCAATGGGTCCACCTGAATCCCTATTTAAACCATTTGTTTTTTCCCTTCCCCTCCACAAATTATACCAACATCAAATACAGTGAGAGCAGGGGTTATACCGTGGGGGAGGGACATACGAAGCAACAAAGAAATCATCTTATAAGTGTTAGAAACAATTGCATGAAAGAAAAAAACATATGAATACTTATCTTGGGATTCATTTCACCTAACATCAACTTATCTGACCTTTTCTGCTTGTCTCAGACATATACTAGTTATGGCAAATAAAGGAAACCATGGGACCTATGTTTCTTTGGTCCTGGCTTACTTTACTTAATATAATTTTTTTCCAAGTCTTTCCATTTCCTAATAAATCCTGGAATTATTATAAGGACATTGGGGACAAAACTCAAAATCTGAATGAAGTCTAACAGAGACACAGGTACTCTACTGGTATTCACTTTCTCAGGTTAATTCCACGAGGGGGAATTGAGAGAAAGAAATCAGAAAACGCTCTATGCTATCTTGGTAGCCTTCTGTAAATGTTAAACTAATCCAAAATTTTAAGAATGTTTATGTTTAAAAGTGTGTGGGGAAAAAAAAAAAAAAAGCCGGGCGCTGGTGGCTCACGCCTGTAATCCTAGCTACTCAGGAGGCTGAGATCTGAGAATCCCGGTTCAAAGCCAGCCCGGGCAGGAGAGATCATGAGACTCCTATCTCCAATAAACCACCAGAAAACTGGAAGTGGCGCTGTAGCTCAAGTGGTAGAGTGCTGAGCTGAGGGACAGCGCCCAGGCCCAGAGTTCAAGCCCCACGACTGACAAAAAATAAAAAATAAAAAATAAAATAAAAGTGTGTGGCTTTCCATCCACAGAAGTGACTCAACCAATTTCACACATATATAAAGATTAACTCAAAATGTATCAAGTAACTAAGAGCTAGAATAACAAAATTCTTACAACAGTGAGCAATCTTTATGACCTTGGGATTAGGAGTGAATTCTTAGCTATGATTCCAAAAGCACAAGCAAGGGGGAAAAAAAACCAAGTTTTATCAAGATTAAAAACCTTCATACATCAAAAAGACAAAGTAAAAAGAAAACCTATAGAAAAAATTGAAATCATCAATCTAGAGGGAATTTAATATCCAAGACATAAAGAATTATTTTATTTATTTTTTTTTGGGTCCAGTCATGGGCCCTGAACTCTGGGCTTAGGTGCTGTCCCTCAGCTCTTCAGCTCAAGGCTAGCACTCTACCACTTGAGCCACAGCGCCACTTCCGGCTTTTTTCTTTTTGCTTATGTGGTGCTGAGGAATCGAACCCAGGGCCTCAGGCATGCAAGGCAAGCGCTCTACCACTGAGCCACCTTCCCAGCCCGCTCTACCACTGAGCCACCTTCCCAGCCCAACATAAAGAATTCTTACAACTCAGTAACAGTAAGACAACTTTACTGGGGGCTGGGAAGGTGGTGGCTCAGTGGTAGAACACTTGCCTTGCATGCATGAGGCCTTGGGTTCGATTCCTCAGCACCACATAAGCAGAAAACGCCAGGAGTGGCACTGTGGCTCAAGTGGTAGAGCACTAGCTTTGGGATGAAGAGCTCAGGGACAGCACTCAGGCCCAGAGTTCAAGCCCCACGACCAACCAAAAAAAGGGGGGGGAAGGGGAGTAGTTATGGATGTGGGAGGGAAGGGATGGTAGGGGAAAAACAAAGGAGGAGGCAACAATGCTCGATAGGAAATGTACTCATTACCTTGCTCATGTAACTGTAACCCTTCTATATAGCATTTTTACAATAAAGAAGTACAAAAAAAAAGACAACTTTACTTAAAAATATGGAGAGGATTGCAATAGACTTTTCTTCAAAAATATGCAGACAGTCAACAGCACAAAGAAAGATGCATTAAATAGTCACTAGGGAAATGCAAATCAAACCACATGGAGATACCACTTTATGGAGTTGGTGACAAGGAGAAACAAGACTTCACACATAAAGGCAGGTGAAAAATGAGACAGCAGCTATTAAAAAGTTTGGAGGTTGCTCTAAAAGCTAAACACAGAATTGCCACAAGACCCAGCAGTTCCATTCCCTGATACATATCTAAAGAACTGCAAACAGGTATTGAAACAAGGAACTGTGCATGAATGTTCACAGCAAGGTTATTCACAATAGACAAAAGGCTAAAACAATCCAAGTATCCATCAAAGGTGAAGGGATATAGCCTGGCTGTGGGTTTACATCTCAAACTGGAATATAGCCAGGCAAGGGCTCACATGTGAAATCTTAGCTACTCAGAAGGAAGATATCCAAAGGTATCCCAAGTTTGAAATCAGCCAGAGCAGTCTGAGAAACTCCATCTCCAACTAACCAGAAAAAAGCTGGGCTGGTGGCATGGTTCAAGTGGAAGAGTACTAACCGAGGAAAGCACCATAGTGCAAGCCCCCGTATTGGCTCTCAAAAAAGGGAATGGATAAACAAAATGAGGTATATATCCTCCTTTCCAATGTCATATTACTCATATAAAGCAGGATGAAATTCTGATGAATGCTATAATGTGTATGAATCCCCAAACATATGGTAAAGTGACTTTTTTTTTTTTTTTTGGTCGGTCATGGGGCTTGAACTCTGGGCCTGGGCGCTGTCCCTCAGCAATTCAGCTCAAGGCGAGCGCTCTACCACTTGAGCTACAGCGCCACTTCCGGTTTTCTGGTGGTTTATTGGAGATAGGAGTCTCACAGTCTCTCCTGCCCGGGCTGGCTTTGAACCGCGATCCTCAGATCTCAGCCTCCTGAGTAGCTAGGATTACAGGCGTGAGCCACCAGCGTAAAGTGACTTTTTTTTAACATGAAAGGGTCATATACTGCCTATTTATATGAAACCTCCAAAACAATAAATCCATAAAGACAGAAAGCAGATTAGTAGTTTCAGGCAATGGAAGGCAGGAGGACTAGAGGCTGACCACTTAATGGGCACCAGACTTCCTTTGTAGCTGATAAAAATACTTCAGAATTAGAGATGGTGGCTGCTTACACTGAACACACTAAATGCCACTGAATTGAACAGTTTAAAATGATTAATTATGAGCACTAGAGCACAGCTTAGTGTTTATCACACTCAAGGCCCCAAGTTAATCTCTAGCAGCACAGAAAAGGAAACTACCAAAACGGTGTTATGTGAATTTTACTTCAATTTTTTTAAGTGTGCACAAAGATCACATTTAAAAAAAAAAATCAGCAATTCATTTGTTCAGGAGGAATACTTACATAATAAACGTCATTGCTAAAATACCTTTTCAGAGAATAGCTAAGAAAATGGAAAGGACAGTTGAAAGTTGTAAAATTATAAAGTATGATTTTTATTTTTTTTTTGTCAGTCGTGGGGCTTGAACTCTGGGCCTGGGCTCTGTCCATGAGCTCTTCAGCTCAAGGCTAGCGCTTTACCACTTGAGCCACAGCACCACTTCTGGTTTTTTCTGTTTATGTGGTGGTGAGGAATTGAACACCCAGGGCCTCACTCTACCACTCAGCCACCTTCCCAGCCCTAAAGTATGGTTTTTAAATAAAAGATTTGTATACAATGCACAAAATTATTTTAATAAAAATATGAACAGAAAAAAAAAAGACTACTATGGCTAGCATCAGCTTAGGCTGAGTCTTTTATTTATACCAGTACTGGGGCTTAAACTCACATGGCTTTTTCCCTCAAGGCTGGTACTCTACCATCTGAGCTACATCTTCACTTTCAACTTTTTTTTTTGGGGTCCAGTTGTGGGACCTGAACTCTTGGCCTGGGTGCTGTCCCTCAGCTCTTAAGCTCAAGGCTAGCACTCTACCACTTGAGCCACAGTGCCACTTCCAGCTTTTTTTTTTCTGCTTATGTGGTGCTGAGGAATCGAACCCAGGGCCTCAGGCATGCAAGGCAAGCGCTCTACCACTGAGCCAACTTCCCAGCCCCCACTTCCAGCTTTTTGCTTGTTAAAGTTCTCATGGACTTTTTTTGTTGTTGTTGTTGGTTGCGGGGCTTGAACTCCGGGCTTGGGCGCTGTCCGTGTGCTCTTCAGCTCAAGGCTAGTGCTCTACCACTTGAGCCACAGCGCCACTTCCAGCTTTTTCTGCTTATGTGGTGCTGAGGAATTGAACCCAGGGCCTCATGCATGCAAGGCAAGCACTCTACCACTGAGCCATCTTCCCAGCCCTCTCATAGACTTTTAAATCTGATCTGGCTCTGAACTGCAATCCTCAGATCCCAGATTCCGAGCAGCTGGGATTACAGGTTTTGAGGCACTAGTGCCTGGCTTATGCTGAATCTTTAGTATTTCTCTTATACTATGCCAAACTCATCTTTCTACAAAAACTAAACTTTTACTTTAATAACCACAAGACAATGAATTTAAGAAAAAGCTCCTAAAACAATACTTCCATTCTACCAATACTCTACCAATAGACCAAATAGAACACCACTCCTCTTACCCAGTAGGGGAGCTGCTGGTCAGCCATGAATGCTTTGGGACTAGGTTCCATCTTGCCATTACTGGTCCACATTTTTTTCCATGTAGTATATTTGTCATATCCATCTTTATGGCTGCAAACAGTCAAAATGCTTATATATCAGGCTGTAAATGAATCGTTTCCAAAGTATGACACAGGTTAATAAATCTTATGTGAGGAACATTACTACTCTTGGTTCGTGGGAAGGAAATGATTATGGCTCATATACTGAAGACCGTCAGAAAGGGGCGTGCATTGTTTCAGTATGAAAAGCTAGTAAAAAGGGCAGAACATTATTTGAAAGAAGACTTAGCTAATACTTTCAAAGACAGAAAGTAAATCCTAGGGTCGCCATTAAAATTTTATATCAGTAAATGAAATAGTTATTAAAGACCCTTATTTAAGGAGTTGGAGGCAGCACTCAAGTGGTAGAGTACCAGCCAATGAGTGAAAAGGTCAAGATACCAAGTTCAATTCCCAGTCTCAGACCAAAAGTTAAAAAGATACTCAATTTGAACTCAGTATCCACAAAAAAAAAAAAAAAACCACAAAAAAAAAAAAAAAAACCACAACAACAGCACATAGAAAATAACATCTTAGCTGGGCACCGGTAGCTCACACCTGTAATCCTAGCTACTCAGGAGGCTGAGTTCTGAGGACCGAGGTTCAAAGCCAGCCTGGGCAGTAATGTCCATGAGATTCTTATCTCCAATAAACCACTCAGAGAACCAGAAGTGGAGCTGTGGCTCAAATGGTAGAGCACTTGCCTTGAGCTAAAGAGCTGAGGGACAGCACCCAGGCCCAGAGTTCAAGCCCCACAACCGACAAAAAAAAAAAAAAGAAAAGACAAAGAAAATAACATTTTAATCTAGTTATATGAGTAAGAAAATAATTTGTTTCTAGATAACCTTGAAATCAAAGAGAAAGACTCAGGAGGAATTAAAATATTTTGAAGTTAGGCATAGTAGTACATGTTTATAATCCTTGAATTCCAAAGGCTGAGGTGGAATTTTGAGTTTGAGATCTACTTGGACTATGTAATGGTACTGTATCAAGAAAGAAAAGAAAAAAATATACAGAAACAAAATAAAACAAGGGTGGTTTGCACTTGTTAACCCTAGCTACTCAAAAGACTAAGATCTGGAAACTAAGTTTGAGGCCAGATCAGAAAGAAAAGTTGGAGAGACTCCATCTCCAAAATAACCAGCAAAAATAGCAGGTTTAGTGGTGTAGCTTACATGGTAGAGTGCCAGTCATAACTGTAAGGCTCCAGGTTTAAATTTTGGACTGGCAACAATAAAAAAATAAATAGGGGCTGGGAATATGGTTTAGTGGTATAGTGCTTGCCTAGCAAGCATGAAAATCCTGGGTTTGATTCCTCAGTACCACATAAACAGAAAAAGTCATAAGCAGAGTTGTGGCTCAAAGTGGAAGAATACTAGCCTTGAGTAAAAAGCTCAGGGACATTGCCCAGGCCCTGAGTTCAAGGCACCCCAGAACCAGCAAATAAATATTTGTGGAATATAGCTAAATCAGTACTTGGGAGCAAAATTTGTAACTTTAAATTATTTATTAAGAAAAAATATCACAAACAAGTAACTTTAACCTTCCAACTTAGGAAACTAGAGAAGGAAAAATTAAACCTAAAAAGCTAAAGGAAGTTTAAAAATATATAGTCTAATTAAAAATAAATAGAAAATCAAAATCTGATTCTCTGAAATTTCAGTAAAATTTCTTTACTAGGATTATTGGGGGTAGGGAAAGAGAAAAATCATTTTACGAAAATAAGAAGTCTGTCAAGTACCTCTACTGGCAGCTTTCCTGTTAATTCTGTAACACACCCTCTGACAGGTTTGTGACAGAATAGGCAAGCAGCTTAGAGATTTTCCAGAACTTTCTCTAGATGTAGCATACCTCCAGGACATAAACTAGTGGTACACTAAAAACAAAGACTTGTGGTGGGTAATTTTTGCATACTGAGTGCATATGCTCAAATGCACACACCAACTACACCACCAAATTCCTGGTCAAAGTCAAGGCTGAAAACAGTCCAATAATCCAGTAAGCCTAGCAAAAAAGCTTTAACTGCCCCATGCCCAGCCCATGCACCACACAAAGAACCCTGTATTAGTGAACAAACCTTCTGTAGTAATGGTCGAAGCATTCATTACAGAAATGTTCCCCACAGGAAAGGTGATACCATCGTGACGTATAGCCATTTTTGGCACATCTGAAAATAATAAACGTGTAGCTTTGTGTTAATGAATAAATACATCTTCTCAGTTAAAAACACAAAAACATCTATCAGCATATCCTAAGCCCATTTCATAAGATCTCTACTGGCTTACTCTTGGGCCATGAGCTAACAGGGGAAACTGAAATGGATGACTAACATGGAATTCTGGTTGATGATCCTTTGTCTGAAATGACTGGAACCAGAAGGGATTTAGATCTCAGAATATTTTCAGACTTTGGAATACCTGAATATACTGAATGAGATCTTGGAGAAGGGACTCAAATCTAAACATAAGATTATAACCACCTTACACACAGAGCCTGGAGGTTAATTTTATACAAATCCTGGTTCTGATGAAGGCCCAATCACATGAAGTCAGGGGTGGAATTCTCCACTAGTAGCATCACAGTCAATCTCAAAAAGTTTCCAAATTTAAAACATTAGGGATTTAGAGATGCTCTATCAGTAATACCCAGGGAGCTCACCGGGGAGCTAACCTGGCTGGCTGCCTGGGGCACAGGAACCTGACTAGGTCTCCCAGGAGCATTAGTGGTGTTTTTGGAGATGAAACATGATGTACTGGGCTTGCTCTAAGTCCATGTGTGCGTGCATGCGTGCATGCATTGAGAGTCTACTGATAACCTCTGGCCCAGAACTGAGCACTGAACAGAACTGGCTGCCACCCGAACGTCCAGCAGGTGATCTGGCACCAAAATTTATCGAAAAGGTAATAAAAGAATGAGCAATCACACTACTTTGAGCACAGCCACCACCAACTCTGTTAAAAACAAATGGGGCTTGGGAGGTGTGGCTCAGAGCACTGGGTAAGGCTTAGGTAAGTTTTAGTCGATCTTAAGCCTTAGTTGAAGAATCTTTCCCCTCTGGAAGTTAATTAAAGGTCCTCTTTGTGCCACCAGCAAAAATGGTAAGACTGCTGTGAGACCTGTGTATGGACATGGGAAGAAAAGACAAGTGACTTGATGGAGAAGGAAAGCAGGGACGAGCAACACATGCCAGTCCCCACTAGGAGTTCCAGTCCTCTCTCCTTGCTGCCACCCCGAGCCCTCTCATCCTTCACCCCCAGGACAGGAACAGCCAAGATCCACTGCAAAGATGCTGCTGAATTACAACTGACTTCAGTGTAGTCCCTCCCATGAGGCTAGGTAGGAAGTTGGCTGTGGTGTGCCGCAAATGTCTGAGCAATGTCTCTATTATTAGATGGCTTACAGTATCTTTATCTATCTTTAGGGTTTATCTTCAAGGATGGTATTCCCACAAAGCACGCCGTCATGGGCAAGAGGGCCAGGCGCTGTAACAAACCTTTCAGAAGCACTTGCAAAGCACACAGGACACGTTGCTGTGCAGCCTGCCTTTTCACATTTTCTGTACTTCTTCTCTGACATGCCATCTTCATCCTCATCTACTGGCTCTGTCGCTTTCTTCTTTGCCTGTGAATTAGCTCTGGTTAAGATTTCCTAGGATTAAGCCAGGTACTATATTCCTAACCACTCAGGAGACTGAGATCTGAAGATCTGCAGTTCAAAGCTAGCCTGGGCAGAAAATGTCCATGAAACTCTTATTTCCAACTAACCACCAAAAAGTCAGAAGTGAAGGTATGGCTCAAGTGGTACAGTACCTGCCTTAAGCAAAAAAAAAAAAAAAAGCCTCAGGAACAGTGCCCAGGCCATGAGTTTAAGCCTCAGTACCCACACAAAAAGACTGCCTATGACTGACCAGGGGTGATAGCAGCAAAAGGTATACCACAGAAATCACATGTAAGAAGTTCTAAATGTGAGGGTAAACAATATCTTGACAGCAGACAGGGGCTGACCAGTTTAACAACTTTCCCACAATTGCACTGTGCAAATAAGTTACTACCTTGCTAGAGATCTAGAGATAGCACTTTAATGATACTTATCTAAGAACTAATAAATCACATGGGACCTTTCCTGAGAAAATGTTAGCAGTTAGGTCAAAACAAAAAAGTCATTTTCAAAATAGTATTTTTTCCCCTTGCCAAGCACCCAGGCTCACATCTGTAATTACAGCTACTTGAACAGCTATTCAGCCTAGGCAAAAGCAGCTGACAAGAACCCCTTCTCAACCAATAGCTGGGGAAAGTGGCAAATGCCTAATATTCCACTTATTGGGAGGCTGAAATAAGGAAGATAAGAGTTCCATGCAAGCTCTGGCAAAAAGTTTGAGACCCTATTTCAGGAGAAAATGCTTGGAATGATGGTGCACATATTTTATCCCAGCTACAACATGAAGCATACATAGGAAGATAATAGGCTAAGCCAGTCTGGGCAAAAAATAAGACCCAATCATGGCTGGGAATAGGGCTTAGTGGTAGAGTGCTTTCCTAGCATGCATGAAGTCCGAGGTTTGATTCCTTAGTACCACATAAACAGAAAAAGCCAGAAATGGCACTGTGGCTCAAGTGGTAGAGTGCTAACATTGAGCAAAAGAAGCTCAAGGACAGTACCCAGGCCCTGAGTTCAAGCCCCAGGACAGGCAAAAAAAAAAAAAGACCCAATCACAAAATTAACTTAGGATTGAAGGTGTGGTTCAAGTGATACAGCGTCAACCCAGTAACCTTAAAGTCCCAAATCCAAGCCCTACTAACACCCCCAATTTTTTTTTTCCTTAGGACTGTTCAATCTTGTCAGTATCAGAGATGAAAAAAACTAGAAAAACCAAGTTACAACATTCAATTTACTCAGGAGGCTGAGAGCTGAAGACCAAAGTTTAAAGCCAGCCTGAGCAGGAAAATCCATGAGACTCCCAATTAACCAGCAAAAAGGCAGAAGGGGAGCTATGGCTCAAGTAGGTACACACTAACTTCAAGCTAAAAAACTTGGGGACAGTGCCCAGGTCCTGAGTTCAAGCTCCAGGACCAGCACCAAAAAAAAAAGTCCTACAAGTAACCCTTTAACATCATTCACCACTATAAGTAGAAGTCCAACTTTCGGTGAATGGCCTCCAGGAAAGCATGATCTTGCCACAGCATTCCCTCTGGAAGCAAGCACCCGATTCTCCCATCATCCTATGCAAATTCACGTTCTATGCTTTCACCCTCACAGTTCTGTCTGCCAAACACCCTACTATCTGCACCAGGGTCATGTTATCCCAAAGCATTACTGCTGTGTGGAGCATTTCTCCATGACTTGGCAAACAACTTGAGGACTGAAGCTGTCTTCCCATCTCCAACTCTCCAGTCCCATTCACAGGACTCCCATGTGTTCAACCAAGCTCCACTGAATGAAGGAAAAAGTGAGTAATACCTGTCTACCAGAGCTCCTCAGAGGCAGGCTATCCTGAGAAAGATCCAAAGTGGCTGTTCTTTTTTTTGACCTGCCCCGCGGGGCTGCCATTGTATTTGAAAATCTGCAAAAGAAAAAAAATAATAAAGGTAAGTCATAAATACTGTTTTCAAGAGTCATTACACAGTTTAGTAAGTGTGACTGTGTGTTCTGCAGTTAGACTGAGTTATAAAGCCACCACTTGTAAGTTAATTATCCTCCCTAAACTTCCATGTTCCCCCTTCTATAGACTTGGTTTAAGGGTATACCACAGCAGTGTCAATGAAATTAAATAAGACAACCTCTTTAAAGTACGAGTATTGCCATAAATATTCAATAATTATTATCCACTACCACTATACACATTTTAAAAATGAGAAACAAGCCGGGCTCTAGTGGTTCACACCTGTAATTCTAGCTACTCCAGATGACGAGATCTGGAGGCTATCAATTCGAAGCCAGCTTTGGCAGAAACACTCCCATCTCTCCAAAATAACCAGCAAAAAGGACAAGAAACCATACACATAATTCATCAAAAAATTATACCACTGTTTGTAAACTTGGATGAAAATACCTCGTTTTTGTTATGAGCCTTTCATCCTGCTGTGTTTTCTTAGTTCCTGATTTTTTTGTGTCTTAGTGTACTTTAAAAACTCCATCTCTTTTAGCAAGACAATAGCAGGCACACTGTCTATAGTCACTGTTCAACACAGGAATCTTGTTTAATAGAAGCACTATATTGTTTTCTACTAGAAAAATCTAACAAGTTCTCAAACTAGTCTAACATCAGTTACACAAACATTTAGAACTAAAAATCTGAAGATAAATTGTGCAAAATAACCATGGGATTGTGAGCTATTCAAATTTTTTCTGTAAGGAAGAAAAAATACTTAGCATAAGTAATCAATAGATGGATTTATAATTACATCATCTTTCCTGATCCAGCCTTTCACCACACACACAAAATGAAAGATGAGAAATCAACACAGCTAGTGACTAGCAACTAAGAAGCAGAAATGTGGCACCCTAAAATACAAATTCAACATAAACAATCCGCATCTTGTTGAAAAGCTGGGAGGACCTTGTGGCTCTACCTGTGTGAATTTTACTACTGTCCACAAAACTATTCCCTCAAGAATGATTAATGGCAGGTGGAAATGCTTTGCCACTACTTTTAACTTTGAGAAACTGTGACATCAATATTAGAGATAGTTTTGAGAAAGTGAAGAGATAAGCCAAAGGAAAACTAATATAGTGGTAGGTGCAAACACATAAGCCATAGATTCCAAAATGTATTAGTAGTTATTTAAAGTATCACCACCCAGAGTGGCTCTGATGGAAGATTAGAAGCACAGTCTCAGCATGCACAAGATCCTGTGTTCGATCCCCAACACTGAAATGCACCGTCATTTAGTTCTACAGCACTGACTGAATTGCTAATGCAATAAATCTACCTCCTGGCTACTAAGGAGGCTGAGACCCAAGGACTGAGGTTTGAAGCCAGCCCACACAAAGTCTGAGACTCTTATCTCAAATTAATCACAAAAAATGCCAGAAGTGGAGCTTGCAAAAAAAACTCAGGGACAGTACTTAGGCTATGAGTTCATGTGTGCACATGTGCACACGCGCACATGCACGCACACGTGCACACACACAAGTACCATCTACTTATATAGCCATCTTGCATTCAATAAAGGTTTCCTGGATCCCTATTTCCAAAAGGCTGTCCAACCTAACATTCATTCACATAAAAACAAAGTTTGACATAGATGAGGATATATGTATATAAATCTCTTCATCTAAATGATAGTATATATCTCATTCATAAAATGAGCTGCAAATAGAATGTATAAATACATATTTACAAATGCTTAGGATACGTATTTACACATAGGATATGTAAGCATCATAATAAAAACACCTGAAGTCAATGTGAAGTTTAGAACTTTAACAAATAAATAAGCCCACGTTCCTACAACGTTTTAACCTGTCCCTAGGAATGCTTGCACTCCCCAAAGCAGGCATGCTTTCTAGAAATTTCATGGAATACGTCGTACATTGGAAAATACATACTTAAAACAAATATAATTCAGGAAACGGTTAAAGAGAAAATGAAAACATGAACTATAAAAGCTATCATTAAATCTGAATGACTGTTGTAAGGTACCTCATTTTCACCTTGAATTATGCAATTGACAGTTACCTGCTTCTATTCCTTTTTGGAACTTAACATTTATTTCCACTATTGCTAGGCCCTTGAGTATTAAAACTAAGGAAAAGATGGTATTTTAAGTTGTAATGACTTGTTATAGTGCTTTTAAGTATCTTAGAAATACTAAAATATCATTAATTCAAATAATACATGAAGTTTTCTAATCAGGTTCTTCAAACTATAAAGACAGCAAACCAAATGAAATCTATTTGTTTCATGTTCAACGTTTTAGAAGCACATTTCTTCCTAATCTTAAATCCAGAGCTTTGGTTTTTGTTTTTTTTTTAGTGATGAAAGAAAATAGGTGTTGCTTTTAAAACTACACAGATGAGTATGTTACTATCGATATTGCTACTTAATTCCCAGGTGTTTCTAATCACATTCATTTAAAAAAAATTAAGGCACTTGCAGAATTACTGAAATAGGAATCAGATGGACTCTAGGGTAGACTAAAAATTTAGTAGAGCCCTCAAAACTTCTGAAAACAGGACAAACTGCTAGAAACTTCTACAGAAATGTGGCTCCCCCAAAAGGGCCATTTAAAATAAAGATTACCCACCTTAATATTCCTAGTCAAATTTTCAGAAATATGGATCCAGTACACTTCATCATTAAATGAAGCAAGATTCAATATCCAGTTCAATTAATTAAATACTGAATTCCCATTTCCCTGTTCGTCTTTTCTAGACAACAATTAATTAGTGATGGTAATTTCTCAGTTTCCTGAAGAAACGCCACCTCCCTCTGGTCTTTTACTATAATGGATTTTTTTTTTTTTAATGGCAAAAGCCATAAGTTACATGTACATACACAAAAGTGGGAGCCCCAACCCCATGCCCACCCTCAACTAGAGTGGTCTATGGAGTCCTGGGAAGCTCACCCAGTTTAAAAAGAAAAAAAAAAGAGGGGGGAGGGGCTGGGCCTCTGGCTGGGTTCCAGATTGCTGACCCCCCAACTTTCTACAGCTGGGCCTGCCTCTTCCTTTCCTCTCTCACCCGGCAGCTGCGGGGCAGTGGACAGACGAACAGCCAGGCTAACCCGGCCGCCCCCTCCCCGGTGTCCAATCCCAGGGGAGTTACCGCAGCAACCCCGCAATGCTAACCCCCCCCCCCCCCCCCCGCCTACACCTGTGAGCCAGCCCCGGGCCGGCTCCCCGAGCCGCCAGCGGGCGGGCGGGGACTCTCCGAACGCGGGGTTCCCCACCCCAGGTGTAGGGCCCGGAGGGAGTCCCAAGAATCCAGGTGCCAGCTGCAGCCGCAACCCCAAAGCTTCCCCGTGGGGGAGCCGAAGCCACCCCCCGCCCGGGGCTCACCTCTGCGCGGACGAGGTGCACGGAGTCTCGGGGTGAAGGCGCCGCTGAAAAGAAAGGAAGCGTGTAAGGGGGTCTGGAGTCCCGACCCACCTCGACAGCCCGGGGAACCCCGTCACCCCGACCTCCAGCCCCGGAGCACCCCCCCCTCCCCGCAGCCGCACCCGCGTCCCACCGGGGGGCCCGGGACCCCCGCCCGCCTCCCCAGCCTGGGCGAGGGGCGCAGCGCACCCCCACGCCAGCCGCTTTGTGCAGCGCTGTCACCCGAACTCGGCCCCCACGCCGCTCCCCGGGAGCCGCGAGTCCCCACCTCCAAGCGCCCGCGAGGCACGGCGCGCCGCGCCGGGCTCCTCACGCCCCTCCGGAGCCGCGCGCACGGCACGGCGCTCTCCGCGCCGCCGGCCGCAGCAGCCCCCGCGCCCGGCCGCCCCCGCTCCGGGCCGCCCCCGCCACCACCGCTTCCGCCCCTATCACGGCGTGACCCGGGGTGGGAGGAGCCTGCGGGACCAGTGAGCGAGAGACACCCCGCCCTCGCCTTCGCCGCGGCGCTCGCTCCGCCCCAGCCATTTCCGCCGCTGCGCAAACCCGGAGCTTGCGGAGGGGGCGTGGCTTAACCTCGGGGGCGTGGCCTTTGTGTGCGGAGGCGGGACCTTGAGCAGGGGACCGGGGCCGGAGGCCGGAGGCGCCGCGTGAGACCCACTGACCCTCCGCTTACCATCGCTAGCTAACCTTCCCTGGTGCCCGGGGCGAGCAGGTGAGGAAGAGGACGATTGGGGTAGCACTGTGATGACCGCCCAGGACAGCCTATCTCGGGACAGGCCTTCCTAAAAAGCACGGCGGCTACCCGCGCCGAGAGATGGGGCTCAGAGAGCAGAAGCAAGAACTGGGAATAACGAGCTGGCATCGTTTATGGTCCGTGGTCTTAAATGGCTCCAAGATATTGCTGTGTATTAACGATTTTTGTTTAAGGCAGAAAGGTAGAGAGAGAGAGACAGACAGACAGAGAGAGATTGCCAGAAGAGTTAAGTGATCCTTTGGAGGGGGAAAGGGAAGGGTTGGGGCTTTGTGAAGATTCTAAGGTGTGCTCTGTGCAAGGTGTGTTACACAGGTGTGTGGAATGCTTTGAATAAAGCTTTACAAACTATGTCTACCTCAGGGCAGATACTCTTCAACTTTGAGAACAAAACTACAGCAGAAGCAATTTTGTTTTTAAAGATCGGAAGGCCTGGGACTGACACTAAGCATATTGGAAATTAACATTTATGACCAGAGATTGCCTGTTCTCACTCGCACTTTGAACTTCACTTTTCACTTCTGCAGTATTGCGAGATGCTTGATGTCTTCAGAATTGGCGGAAACCCAGTTGGGAAACTGTTTACAGCATAGTTACAGTTGAGGTTGTGTGGGACAGAGTTGGGCAGTGGCTCTGCTCTGTGATAAAGATTAGGCTTCCCTTTTATTTTCAGTGAAGGAGTCCTGACTTTTGGTTCCAGAGTTTCTGAAACAAAAACAGAGGGTGGGGGAAGGGAATGCAAGCCTCTTGCTTTTCTGTACCCGATATAATCAGTTAGTTCCTGCTGACCTCTCTAAAAACGCCTGACACCACTGAAGCCTATGCAAACATCATTTGCTACCTGCTGAGAAGGGAATTTCATTCTAGTGATGAAGATTCCTTTTTGAGTCCTAACTACAACGGAATCAAATTGTGTAACAAAAGAAAAACTTTTCCTTAAATTCCTGTTCAGTGTGATGTTTACTATACCACCAGAGAATCGTTAATTTTGATCTGCTAATAATACCACAGTAGTATACCCCCAAACTAGTTTCACTAGTGACTTAAAGGAAATGTTGGCATAGCAGTGGTCTATTGTTCTTCATATTGCAAGGACAAGCAGTCCCTTAAATGATCAGATGGATCAGTGATTTTGTTTACATGTTCTTTTTTCTCAGTTCCCTTTGTATTTTCCCATATACACACAAAAATAAAGCAATGAGAACATTATTTGAAAATATACACTTTCGATGTAGAATAAGATTTTAAACACTATTTTGGATCCCTCCTTTAGTGGTACAAACCATTAGAATAGGGAGAGCAGAAGAGAACAATAAAATAAGACAAAAAATTAGAACTTAGAAAGCAAATGAATACATAATAAAGATTTTCACGGACTCAAGAAGTCTGATAATGGGGGGGGGGGAAGGGGAAGGATTGAGTCTGATCAGTGGCCACTCTAAACATATGAACGTGTCTGAGTGAAATCCCTTTGGACAATTAACCAATGCTAATAAAAATGGGAAAAAAGATTTATAGCAAAAAGTTAGTTTTTTAAAAAGAAAAAAAAGAAGAAAAGAAAATCTGTCTGTGGAACCACACCAAACAGGTACAGTTTGAATAGCCCTTACTCAAAATGTTTAGAAACAGAAATGTTTCAGATTTGAGGAGTGTTTTTTTAGTACTTTTATTAGTTAGACATCCTGAATCTCAAAATCCAAAATCTGAAACATCTTAAACATCATGTTGGCCCTCAAAAAATTCTGGATTTTGGAGCATTTTGAATTTTGCATTTATGAATTAAGGCTCTTTATCCAGAAATTACACATCAATTTTCCAAAAGAACTCTATTCACCTCATAACTACGGTGAAGTTTACAAGCTAAATGCCTCATCCACATTCTTAAATTTCTGATCTGAGTTGTTGGTTGGTTGGCTGGTTGGTATTTACTTTTGAATCTGAACAAATAAGGATCAATAAGCTCTAGCAACGACTATAATTTGGCTCTGATTTGAAAATTAGGGTCTAATTTGAAAGAAAGGAGCCAAAACAAATCAATAGGAAAACTGACTTGAAAGTAACAGATTATGCAATAAATAGAATAAAATTACTGATGAAATAAGAACAGAATCATACAAAAAAAGAACACCTGAGAGTAAAAAAAGGAGCTTCAGAGAATGAAAGACTTGGGCTGGGAAGGTGGCTCAGTGGTAGAGAGCTTGCCTTGCATGCATGAGGCCCTGGGCTGGCTTCCTCAGCACCACATAAGCAGAAAAAGCCAGAAGTGACACTGTGGCTCAAGTGGCAGAGCACTAGCCTTGAGCTGAAGAGCTCAAGGGGCCCAGAGTTCAGGCCCCACAACTGACAAAAAAAAAAAAAAGGAAAAAAAAAATAAAGAAAATGAAAGACTTAATAACAGCAGGAAAAGTAAATAGAAGAGTAGAAAGATAAAAGTATTGTGTCTTAAAAAAAAAAGATTATAAAAGGTAAAGAGAAATAGGAAAAGATGAGAAATATATAACAGCAGGTCAGGAACAGTAGTTTCATTAATAAGTAAAAAATAATCCCAAAAATAGAAAATTAAAAAGAATTGTGAACATCTGATAGCCATGAATAATGGTGACCGCAAATAAAACCTCTCAAAAAAATTAATTGAGCTAGACATCTGTGGCTCATGCCTGTAATCCTAGCTACTTAGGAGGCTGAGATCTGAGGATCATGGTTCAAAGCCGTACTAGGCAGGAAAGTCTGTGAGACTTAACTCCAATTAACCACTAAAAAGCAGGAAGTGAAGCTGTGCTCTACTGGTTAAATGCTAGACATGAGCATAAAAGCTCAGGGACAGAGCCTAGACCCTGAGTTCAAGCCCCAGGACCAACACATACACACAAAATTTATTTGAGGTCTCTACTCCTTATAGAGGAAATTGTGTGATAGCAGAGGAACATAGCCATGACCTTGGGGGAAATAATTCACAAGATCCCTAAGATAAAACACTGTACTGTAACTAAGCTTCCTACCTACTAAAACCTCTAGCAGAAATCTCAGAAATGTTCTCAAACTCTAGTTGCTAAAATGGTTGCTCTCCCCCTAGAAACCAGCCACTTTCCGTCTATTGAAAGTATATCTGCAGTTGATACCTAAACTTTTTCTTTTTTTTTTTTTTTGCTGCCACAAAGTAACTGAAAAGCCTGATATCTCTGCCTCCATTTTGCATTTGTCATCATTCTAAACCATTCTCACCACGGGCACTTTGGGTTCTGGGAAAGACAGGCCTGATCAATTATATTTCTATGACCAGGGACTGAAACTAAACCTTAGAAAAAGAGTTTGCAGGGCAGATAAGCCCTGAATGAAGACATCAGATGATCAGGTTGCACCCTAGGGCAGGAGGAGCAATCAGCTCAGAGGAACCAGATAGTTCTCCTCAAGTGATAACATCAATAACAACTTTTCTGGAACCCTGGAGTTCCAGCACTGAGAGAATGATCAACCAAACTACACCTGTAACTGGGACTCCTTTTGCCTAGTTTTGCTCCCTGCTTGAATTTGTTGTATGGTGAGAAGACAGAGAAGTCACATTTTGAAAGATTGATCAGGAGTCTTAATTAAAAGGTGGGCAACTACATGGTGGATCCTGTCCCAAAGACCAGCAGTAGTGAGCAGAGCTTGTGCCAAGCTTTTAAACTGAACCATATACTTGGGATAAAGACCAAGCCTTAACAAAAGCAGACCTTATTAGGACATATTCAGGTACAAGCTTAGGTACCAGCAAAATTTTTCCATCTAGAGAATATACGCCTCAACCTCTCATATAGGGAAATCTTAGAGCTACTCAGCGGCGGGTGATTCTAGACAGGAAGGTAATCAAGACAAAATGAAAACATTCTCCATATGCAAAGCTTTTCTAAACCTATGACATCTGCCTTTCTCTGAAACAGAGTTCTCCTAGCTCACTTTGAGCTAGGCATCTGCATTCAATGAATGGCCTCTCTCACCTCTAGGCTTTTCAGCACTGGGTATAGAACTCCCTCCACCCAGCAAGAGGCATCAGAATGGCTATAAGAAGTCATTTAGACTCTCGGGCTCCTTACTTCAAAGTCTTCCTCTATTTAGACCTAACCCTCATGTATGTGCCTCAAAGAAGGCTGAGTGTGACCTAACATATCATCTTTCCATGGCACATAATTAATCTCTTTCCTCTGCCCTTCATCACGTCCCTAAAACAGTCCTTTCCTAATAAGTTTTCCTCTCACTGCATGTCTCAAATTGTCTGATTCTCTTCTCAGCCAAAAGGACCAAGGTAGAGAGCGATACTGATGTATCTCTGCTAACACTCCAAGATTTCATGAACTTGGCCCCATAGATGAACATAGACCCAAAATAAGGCATAGAATTGTGAAATTGCAGAAAGGGGCAAAGAAAAGCTTTGAGGGAGAGAAGAGTTGTCACATGGAAAATATCAGGATCGGTGTGTCTTTGAACTCAAAAGACAGAAGCTGGTCCAGAATGGAGCAATTCCTTCAAAATTACAAAAGAAAATGATTTCTAACCAGGGACTCCATGCCCAACAAAGCTGCAAAGTGGAAAAAAAAATGGCTAGCTACTCAGGAGGCTGAGATTTGAGGATTGCTGTTCAAAGACAACCCAGAAGGAAAGGGCATAAGACTCTTCAATTAATCTCCAGAAAACCAAAAATGGAGCTGTGGCTCAAAGGGGTAGAGTGCTAGCCTTGAGCAAAACAGCTTAGGGACAAGCCCTGATTTTCAGGCCCAGGACCAACAAAAAACAACAACAACAACAAAAATGCAAAAAAAAAAAAAAAAAAAGTGAGGTTTTTGTTGTTGTCGTTGTTGTTTGGGTATTTTGTTTTTGCCTATGCAGACAAGAAGGAATTCTTTAGGGTCTAGGGTTAGGATAGCGATTCAAAATGCTAAGTATCTACTAAGAGTCAAGACCAGCCAAGGTAGGCCAGATGTAGTACTTTGAGCCTATAATCCCAGCTACTTGATAGACAGGGACAGAAGGGTTGCAATTTGAGGATGGCCCATAAAAGTTAACAAGCTGTAGTGAATAAGCCAGGTAGCATGGTTCATGTCTGTAATCCTACTATGCAGGAAGCATAGGTAGGATTGTTGTCTGAGGCACCTGGGTAAAAGTGGGGGATTGTACCTGAAAAAAATAAAGACAAAAGGGCTGAGAGTGTGACTAAAGTGGAAAAGCTATTGCCTTGCAAGTGCAAGGTCCTGGTTCAAACCCAAGAAAGTTTTCCCAAGAAGATGAAACTGATAAAATATGTGGTGATTGATAAGATTGAGAGTGTATTGATCAGGCTGGGAAGGTGGCTCAGTGGTAAGAATGCTTGCCTTGCATACGTGAGGCCCTGGATTTGATTTCTCAGCACCACATAAGCAGAAAAAGCTGAAAGTGGTGCTGTGGCTAAAGTGGTAGAGCACTAGCCTTGAGCTGAAGAGCTCAGGGACAGTGCCCAGGCCCAGAGTTCAGGCGCCACAACTGACCAAAAAAAGAGAGAGAGAGAGAGAGTATTGATCATGGTTCAAAGCCAGCCCAATCAGGAAGATCCATGAGACTTTTTTGTTTTTTTCAATTAATTAGCAAAAAGTCCTAAGAGGAGGTATGGTAGAAAGCAAGTATGTTAACCAAAATAGCATGATTTGCCTGAAAGTTAAAAGATGGTAGTCTCTCTTGCATAACAAATCTTATTTTAATTTTTAAAAAAAATATAGTAAACATATATACAGAGGAGTTAGTTACACAAGTCAGGTAATGAGTACATTTCTTTTTGGACAGTGCCACCTCTTCCCTTGTTTTCTCCCCATAATTTCCCTCCCAAACCCTGTCTCCCACAAGTTGTATAGTTCAATTTCAATACAGTGTCTAGTGAGTGTCAGTGTTGCATTTATTCACCTTTATAACAAATCTTTTGAACTCTCCAAATTGTATGGATTACATACTGCCAAAGCATAGAAGCAAATGAAAATTTTAAAGTGTATGCTAGAAGAGGGGCTGAGAAGGTGGCTCAGTGGTAGAGCGCTTGCCTTACATGCATGAGGCCCTGGGTTCAATTCCTCAGCACCACATAAGCAAAAAGAAAAAAGCCGGAAGTGGCGCTGTGGCTCACGTGGTAGAGTGCTAGCCTTGAGCTGAAGAGCTGAGGGACAGTGCCCAGGCCCAGAGTTCAGGCCCCACGACCAGACCCCCCCCCCAAAAAAAAAAAAGATGCTAGAAGAATTCTAAGAAAAATTTTAAACTGGAATGCCTAATTTTTTTTTTATCTTTCTAACTTATGCATTCTATTCCACTGTTGAGTATAACTCAAATTTAAAGGTGTTTCCTAATGTGTGAACTAAGTTTCTACCACTAGACTTGAGGAAAAGTAATTTTTTATGGCTTTTTAGTGGGCATTGAAAGCAAGACTGCCAAGGATAATAGACTTTCATTTATCCCATCAATAGAGTTGCAGTGCCTTTATCTGACCACCTTGTGAATGTTTTCTATTCAGGATTGGAGACAGAGGAGTCCACAAACAATGGGTGACACAAAAGCATCACTTGATATTAAAGAGTTCCCTGATTCTGAGGTACATCAGACACGCGTGCTAACCCTGCAAGAATGGCAAGACAAGTGGGTGACCGGTAACACTACGTTTCATCAAGAAAAAGGAAATCAGTAAGGCCTGTTTCCTCTATCGAAGAAAGTCTGTGTCAGAAACTGAAATAAAATCAATAATATATATACATATATATATATATATATACATACACACAATGTTAGATTGATTTTTAAGAAGCACAGTTTAATTTCTCCTATTACATAGCATCTCAGAAATCCAAGTGCATCTGTGGGTACCCCATAGGCCAGTTGACAGTGTGATTTTCTTTCCTGATGTATAATGATATGACTGACAAATATGGTGTCTTTGAGTTATGCTATGTCTGTGTGCTTATTATATATTTTATTATATATATACAAATATCTATTTTCTAATATGTATGTATGTATTTCCTAATATAAATGCTGACCTAGCTACTTTCTAACAGCATATGTTCTAATGTTAATGTATTTCCTGTGGAGTGGAAGGACCTGAGTTCAATCCCCCAGTACTACACAAGAAAAGTAATCTGTAAGTGGTAAGGAAGAGATTTGGAGAGAAATTATCCAATGGGCTAGAGAACTGCACAATGTGTCTGTGTCAGAGCCAACTTTGAAAAAGTTGGGATACATGATGGGATCAGTGCTGATTGTAATTCAGTTATAATAGAATGAGTATAGTAAAAACTGATCATTATGAGCCTGGCACCGGTGGCTCACACCTATAATCCTAGCTACTCAGGAGGCTGAGATCTGAAGATCTGAGGATCACAGTTCAAAGCCAGCCCGGGAAGGAAAGTCCATGAGACTTTTATCTCCAATAAACCACTAAAAAACTGGAAGTGGCGCTCAAGTGGTAGAGCACTTGCCTTGAGCTGAAGAGCTGAGGGACAGCACTTAGGCCCAGAGTTCAAGCCCCACAACCGACCAAAACAAAACAAACAAAAAAAAAAAAACTGATCATTATGGATGGACCTTGTTTACCTCTAGATAAATACCCCACCCTCCTAGGAGATAGCATCATCCCCATCATTATTTTTGCAGAGTGGAGGTTGAAGCATCCTCAAGAACCAGAGTTTGGTTCTGATGAGGATGACCTTACTAAACACTACCAAGGAAATGAACTACAGGAGTTAAACTTAGGAAATTGAACTACAGGAGTTAAGCTTAAAGAGAATTTTCCAAAAGTAAATCTTGAAAAATGTGTGAGTCTCAAGGCTCACTTTCCAAATAATTTTTTTTGGTCAGTTTTGGGTCTTGAACTCTGGGTCTGGGCACTGTCCCTGAGCCATTCAGCTCAAGGCAAGCACTCTACCACTTGAACCACAGCACCACTTCTGGTTTTCTGGTGGTTAATTGGAATAAGAGTCTCATAGACACCCCTTGCCCATGCTGGCTTTGAACTGAGATCCGCAGATCTTAGCCTCCTGAGTAGCTAGGATTATAGGCATGAGCCACCAGCACCTGGCTCCAAATCATTTTTTTAAATAAAAATTTGGAACGTAATATAGAAATTTTAAAACATAACTAAAGGAAAAAGAAGATATTTTAAAATTTGTAATCATTCATCAGGAAAACCCAAAGTGTAAGTCAGATTTACCACTAACTAGCTATGTGACTGAGCCAGTCCTGTTTCATTATGTGTAAACTGAGATGATAATAATCAACATTATGTACTCATTAAGGTCTTTGTAAGGTGAGATAGGATGGGAAAGGTTCTTAGCATCATACAACTCTGCTCCTGTGCGTTGGGCTAATTCAAACAAACTATAATACTTTTTTTTTCCTTCCCAGGCTATTAAAGAAGCATCTGGAGACATTTCTTAATGGCCAGAGTGGACTGAGGGTATTTTTTCCTCTTTGTGGAAAAGCAGTTGAGATGAAATGGTATGAGCAGATAATAGCACACTTTCTTTGATTGAATATTTATATGATGTAGGTGAAAAAAATCTGTTCCCTGGGAATTTTTTTTTTTTGCTTTGTTTGCTATTATAGGCTAAGCCTCCTATTTCTGTGCACTGCTAGGAAATAGAAATATAGGCACCCTGTGTGGATGACATCTTTGTTTACATTGTATCACTTCAAAAATGTGAAGTCATTCTAAAAGTTGCTATATTCTAGTGTGTTATTTTCCTAGGAAATATGAAAGACAAACTAGCATTTTTTCTTTGTTTTTATCTAACGTGACTAATAAGACAAGGTACTATGTATCATTGTAGAACTATGCCTGCTCCCCTCTGCCCACCAGAGTACACAGGAGGAGTCACAGTTAGTGCTGTTCTTGTTTTGAGAATAGGCATTTGATTCTAACTCAGTTGATAGATTCAGAAACAATTTGAGCAGCCTGGAAAGCTCACATTTACTTACATGTGATTTTTGTCAGCAAGAAACATTAGGTAAAAGCAGAAAAATATGTTAAGCTGTGTATTACTACTGTTTTAGTACTGTCTACTTGTGAGTCCAAAATCCCAAAAGTGTGAATTCTACCTTTATAAACTTTACCAGAGGAAAAAAGGCAACTAGTTAGTTATACATGGTAATAAAAATACACATCTTTGGGTGTTTATTGTATATAAGTAGAAATTATGAAATGGTTATAGATTTGAGTACTAATGTTTGAAAGCTGTGTGTTCTAACAGTAGTTGTGAGCCACACATGACAATCTATTTTTTTGTTTCCCATTTTAATTCTTCTTAAGATAAGGGCTTGGTGTATAGCCCAGACTTATGATCCAACTACTTCAACTCTCCAAGGGCTAGAATTACTAGCATGGACCACTACACTATTTAAACTTAACCTAGATAAAATTTTAAATTTCATTCCTCCAATACTCTAGCCACATCTCAAGAACTCAATACCTGGTGTGGTTAAAGGTTGCTGTGTTGCATATACAGATAGGGAAATTTCCATCACCCCCCAGAAAGTTTTCCTGGACAGCACTAATTTAAGGGAATTGAAAGGGTATTTTATCCTGTGAAATAAATTTGTATTAAATCAGCAATCTAACATATAACTTTCCAAATTTTAATTGTTTACCTATGGCCATATAAATAAATTCTTCAGAATTGCAAATAACACGAGCTTTAAGGAAATAGAGACCACTATTTTACGTGCCCAGTGAAAACTCATGCACCTGGATTCATATGAATCACTTCTTTCTCCTCTCCCTTGTTTCCCATCCTCCAACCTTTGACTGAACCCAGGGTCTGGCAGATGATAGGCCTGTGTTCTGCCACTGAGCTATATACCCCATGTCCAGTAAAGAAAATGTATGATTACTACACTACACCTCTTTATGTAACACTATATTTTTAATGAAAATTGAAGTGTGACTATGATCTTGTGCAGGTTTGCAGACCGGGGTCACAATGTCGTTGGTGTGGAAATCAGTGAACTTGGGATACGGGAATTTTTTAAGGAGCAAAATCTTTCTTACTCAGAAGAACAACTCGCCGAAATACCTGGTGCCACAGTATTTAAGGTGTGTTTTGATTGGGGTAAACAGTGATTTCCATAACTTCTGAGGTTTTCCTCAGCATGACTAAGGACCCCTATTAAGGTATTAAGAGGGCTGGGAAGGTGGCTCAGTGGTAGAGCACTTGCCTTGCATGCTCGAGGCCCTGGGTTCAATTCCTTAGCACCACATAAGAAAAAAGCCGGAAGTGGCGCTGTGGCTCAAGTGGTAGAGTGCTAGCCTTGAGCTGAAGAGCTGAGGGACAGCACTCAGGCCCAGAGTTCAGGCCCCACGACCAGACCCCAAAAAAAAAAAAAGGTATTAAGAATTGCTGAGACATTATATATGATAAAGAGCTAGGGATTAACAGTATAGAGCTGGATGCTAGAGGCTCCAGCCTATAATCCTAGCTGCTCAGGAGGCTGTGAGCTGAGGATCACAATTTAAAGCCAGCCCGGGCAAGAAAGTCTGTGAGACTCTTTATCTCTAATAAACACCAAAAAATCAAGAAAAGGAACTATGACTGACTCAAGTGGTAGAATGCTATTCTTAAGCAAAATAGCTCAGGTGCAGTGCCCAGACCCTGAGTTCAAGCCCTAAAAAAAGGCAAACAAAACCAGTATGGATAATATCCCAGCCCTTGGAAGGCTGAGGCAGGAGGACTGGGAGTTCAAGCCTTAACCTGAGCTACATACTGAGTCTCATAAATAAATAAGTAAATAAACTATTTATAGTAAGGTGATATCAAGGGTGTGCGTGCGTGTGTGCATGTGTGTGTGTGTGTGTGTGTGTGTGTGTGTGTGTGTGTGTGTGTGTAAGTTGAGGTCAAATCTGTTTATTCCAAGCTAGCTTGCTTCCTTCCTTTCTTCCTCCCTGCCTCCCTCCCCTCCCCTGCTTGCCCCCCTCCCCTCCCCTCCTTCCTTTGTGTGGGTGCTGGGGATGGAGCATAGGGCTTTGTGCATGCTAGGCAAGAGTCTGCCATTGAACTACATTCCCAACTCATCCCAATTTTTCTTAGTTTTGTTAAGAAGCATTTTCTGAGATCCTGTTAGATGCCAGTACTGGCCAAGGCTGCCTGGAGGTTCCAGTCTGCAGTCAGAGTTAAGATCCATTGGGTATTCTCCCTGCCTCCAGCCCCCTGCTACCTGGATGGACCACTACAGTGCTTCCAAGATGGTCTCCAAAGACCCTCCCTCTTCTGCTTGGGAACCTGTATTGACAGTTCATTTCAGAATCAACTCAACCATGTCCTGACATGTCACAGTTCACTCCCAGCTCCCAGACTCCCTCTGATATGCCCCCTATTACCCTGCTGGAATGTACCTTCAGCCGCCTCTCACTTAAATCTTAGCAGGTACATCAAGCCACCCCATCAGAGGTCAGCTCTGGGTCAACCATCTGCAAGGCTCCCAAGCAGTTCCCTGCTGGCTCCTACGTTCACATTGTTCTCAGGCCCACAACCATAACCATACAGGCTATTCTGTGTCATCATGTCTCTCTATGCCCATGCCTGCCCCCACAGGCCAACCTCAGAGTCAGCGTCCAATTCACCCACATTAGCTAGAACCAGGATAGGGATCTGGTTCACTAGCTGTTTTTATAAATAAGTTAATTATTAAGACAAAGCAAGAAAAGTACACTTTCCCTAAATAGCTTTTAAAGTAACTGAACATTCTGAAGTCAGACACTGTAATCTGAGGTAGTCAGAAGGCTGAGATCTGAGGAACATGGTTCAAAGCCAGACTGCATAGAAAGGTCTATGAGACTTTTATCTCCAATTAACAAGCAAAGAGCCAGAAGTAGAGATGTAGATCAAATAGCTTTTGAGAAAAAAAGAAAACAAGCAAGAGCACAAGGCTCTGAGTCTAAGCCCAATATCAGCATATGTGCGTGTGTGTGCACACAAACATACAAAAATAATCTGATCATTTAATATCAGCGTGACTGAAAATTGACCTGTGGATTTATCTCTAGCAGAGTAACATTATCAAGATGCTGCTTAAGTAAACATTTCTAGAATGTTAACAAGCTCTGAAACAAGTTATAACTCACTGTTTAGGTTAGTATGCCTTAACCTTTATGATTTTTTTCCTCTTTGAGTTGACCCAAAAGAACCCCACATAGGTTTTTTTTTTTTAATTTTTTTATTGTAAAGATACTATACAGAGGGTTACAGTTACATGAGTAAGGTAATGAGCACACTTCCTATTGAGCATTGTTACCCCCACCATTGTTTTCCCCCTACTATCCCTTCCCTCCCTACCTTCCCCGAGGTTCTTTTTTTTTTTTTTAATTGTGATTAAGTGATTACATAATTTCCCAAATTTCACAGTATTGTGGAATAATGATGCTCATTTAAAGTCACAAGCTCATTCTAACTTTCCTGGAGCAAATTGTCTATCACGGTCTATAACATATAACGGTGTACACATATACACCATACATCCCACATAGGTTTTTAAAGAAAAAGAAACTGTTAAATGCTATGGAGTTATTTATTGTGTTGAGTACGCATTCTCTACCTCCATAGCTTTACTTGGGTCCACTTTTCTTTCCTTGGCCGTTCAGATACTTCCAAATTAAGTAGAATTTTTTTTCTTTCATTGTGTCATTCCAGAGTTCTTCGGGAAACATTTCACTGTACTGTTGCAGCATCTTTGACCTTCCCAGGTAGGACTGCGTATGTGCATTTTTTAAGTGAGTACTTCCTTGGCAGGATTGGCTGGGATGTCTCATCTCTGCCATCCATTTGTACAGCATGCATGAAGGATTGAGTTGAGCCTCTGTTCTCCAATTACAACAGCCTTAGCTATAAACTGAATGTGAATATGAAAAACAATATTATGCCCCAAGCTGGGAAGAAGAGAGGTAGATTGAGAGAAGTGGTATCTTCTACCTTGCCCCTGCACCTGTAACAAAAACAAAGCATGGGGTGCAGAAGGAGGCAAGATCTCATCTCCTGTAAGTCTCTGATACAGAAGCTGAGCCAGGAGGTATCACACACTACCATCTGTCCTTACTTTGTGCTTCAAAGTCATAAGGAAATAAGGAAACTGCTGCCACACACTCCTAAAACTATGATTAGCTTCCCACACCCAGGTCAGCACAGCCCTCTAGATTGAAGGACAAAATCAACACGAGATTCTAATTCCTTGGTGAACTGGGACATGAAGAACAAAATCCATCTTGCTCAAGATCTGACATTTCCATAGAGAAAATGTTACATTTTCCCCCCTCCTCCTTTCTGACAGGGCAAATATTGGCCAATTTGACAGGATTTGGGATAGAGGAGCATTAGTCGCCATCAATCCAGATGATCGCAAACGGTAAGTGATTTGGTTTTGTTAATTGTGTTTTGGTTTTGTTTTTAGCTGAGTTGCAAAAAAGTATACAATTTCTGTATAAGGACCTGTGTAGAGAGTGTGAGGCTCTGTCATTTCCTTCAGCCTTAGCTTAGTCCATTTTACCGCCAGTAAGACCTGTGGATTCTTCTTTTTTTGTTCCCAGTATAAAAGAATGCATGTGAACTCTTGCTCACTACAGACTAAAATTTAATCACTTGTTTAGTAATAAAAATATAGTTTTTTATGGATCTTGTGCAGACTACACACCACACACACACACATATACCATATATATGGTTTTTATATTAAGACCTGTGGATTCTTGCTGTGTGCCAGGCAGTGTTTAAAATAATATGGACTGATATATTCAAATGTACTATAAAGTTTCATAGGTTATATGCATGCCTTATTTTATTGTACAGATAAGAAAACTAAGGTCAAAAGGACAAAGCTACTAGTAAGTGAAGTAGCTAGCTTATGACAAACGCTCAGAGCTTGCTCTTGATCCATACATCAAACTACTTCAAAGGGTTGCCATGGGAATAAGAAGAAACAGAATATGTGAGCCAGATGCAGTAGCCTAGGCCTGCAATCCCTGCACTCAGAAGGTTAGTGTAGGAGGATTGTGACTTTGAGGCCAGCCTGGACTATATAGCAGAACTTTGTCTGAAAGAGAAAAAGAGATGTAGAGTGAGTGAAGGAAGGAGGGAAGGAAATAGGGAAGAAAGGAAGGAAGGGTAGGAAGGAAAGGAATAAGGTAATGAAATATGTGAGGGACTGGGAAGGTGGCTCAGTGGTAGAGCGCTTGCCTTGCATGCTCGAGGCCCTGGGTTCGATTCCTCAGCACCACATAAGCAAAAAGAAAAAAGCCGGAAGTGGCGCTATGGCTCAAGTGGTAGAGCACTAGCCTTGAGCTGAAGAGCTGAGGGACAGCGCCCAGGCCGAGTTCAGGCCCCACGACCGGACCCCCCCCCCGCCCCCCCAAAAAAAAGAAATATGTGAAAATAATTCCAACAAATCACAAGACATTGGTTATCATTAAAGCATGTGTTTGCAATGCTTTCGTATCGATCAAACTAGCAATCATCAGATGCAGAGCAAGGGCAGACTGGGTACATGGCGTACAGCTATTTCCCCAGTATTTGGCACAGTTTATACTTAGCACATAGGAAACTCAGTCAACACTGGCAGGCAGCACCTATCTGACCTTTAGATAGGAAGGCCATCAAAGTGGACTCTGAGCTCTTTAATTTGTGGTTAACTAGGGACAGTGAGGTCTCAACTGGACTCCTAGGAAAGCCAACACAGAGTCTATGTCCTCCCTACTTACTTCCCTGCTTCCCCTCCCCTCCCCTCCCCTCTCCCCCCTTCCTTCCATTTGCATGTGTATGTGGGGGGAGGGGAGTAATAGTCCTAATACATCCCAGGTGATCTTGGCCCTATTAATCAAATGACTACTTTGAACCAGTAGAAGCACTTAGCATCTTAGCACTTAGTATGTTAGTACTTGATCTCAGTACCACCAGTAAACAAAAGTGCCATCACTACTAATAAACCAATCTAATACATAATTTAATATTAGTATTAATACACTAGTACTTTACCTCAGTACCATCTTGAGTTTTAGTATCTTCAGCTTCAATAGGACATTATCAAGTACTTCTATGATTTCCACTGTGATGCTCTTGTGTAATAAAAACCAGTAGGGTGCTTTTTAGATGTTTTTTTTTTTTTTTTTCCCTTAAGGTTGGCACATTATATTGCTCAAGCCACACTTTCACTTCTGTTTTTCCTCTCAGAACGTTGTTAAACTGCAGCAATTCCTGGGCCTCAGAGAAAAGCTACCAAATCCATCTGTGGGATGGAGTTCAATCAGCCTTTCCTTCAGCACTCATAGGTAGTTTTGATAATCATTGCGGTCTGTGTGCCTTGAGCACACAGAAGCATGACAATCCTTCAGAAAGTACATGTTCAGGGGCTGGGAAGGTGGCTCAGTGGTAGAGTGCTTGCCTTGCATTCATGAGGCCCTGGGTTCGATTCCTCAGTACCACATAAGCAGAATAAGGCCAGAAGTGGCGCTGTGGCTCAAGTGGTAAAGTGCTTGCCTTGAGCTGAAGAGCTGAGGGACAGCGCCCAGGCCCAGAGTTCAAGCCCCACGACTGACAAAAAAAAAAAAAAGAAAGTACATGTTCAAAATCACCCCTCTCCTTCTCCCAGCCCAGGACTACATCAGGCTGGAAGGAGCCTCTGTGTGTCTTTCTGTGATGACCTCAGATCTGGGATCATCTGGAGGATAGGAGGTCAGGGAGCTTCCACTTGTTTCCCCTCTTTACCCTTTCCCAGCTCAGCAGGGAGACCAGGGGATCTTGAGTTGCTGAACTCATTTCTTGGTTTCAGAGTGAGAACCAAATGCCATGTGATGGCTAGGAGAGGTAAACCTGGGCTTGTTGAAGATGGTAAATGACATGGTCCTTCCCTGCCCCCAGTCCCGTCCAGCCTCTGCCTGTGTAGAAAAATGGTACATTTATATTTTTTGTGTTCTTTTTAGTTATACGGATATAATACTGTCTCTCTTAAGAAAAGGGTTCCGCTACCTCCTGGCTGTTTTGTCTTATGATCCAACAAAACATGCAGGTAAACCTGCTTTTTTCTTTTTCTTTTTGTCTAGCTTCCTGACTTAATCCTAATGCATGGATAAAATTATTTTTCCTAGTTTATTGTATCGATAGCCATAAAGATAAGTCTGTTTGAGGCTAATGAAAATCAGAAACAATTTTTTATCTTCTAGTTCTTTAGAGTTTGACTGACTGAAAGGATTCTTTACTATATTTCCCTTTTTCCTAGGTCCACCATTTTATGTTGCAGATGCTGAAATTAGAAGGCTGTTTGGTAAGTGATGCTCTTTTTAAGTTAACTGCATGCATTGGTACACATCTGTAATCCCAGCACTCAGGAGGCTGAGACAGGAGAGTCCATAGTTTCAAGTCATCCTGGGCTAGGTGACATGAACCTGTCCCCAGGGGGGAAAAAAAAAAACCTTTTTAAATGTCTACAGTTACTTGTTTAACATGTCAGTAAAACTATTAGCGTATAACTAAAGTATATAAAAGTTTAAAGGTAGAAGGCTGTGAGGGCAGCCCTGTAGTACAATGTTGGTCTAGCATGCACAAAGCCCTAGGTTTAATCCCCAGAATAAAAAAAAAAATTTAAAGTACAGATTGGTTTTTGGTTTTTGGTTTATTTGTGTGTTTTGCCAGTCCTGGGGCTTTCACTCTGGGCCTGAACACTAACTCTGAGCTTCTTGTGCTCAAGGCTAGCATTCTATCACTTGAGCCACAGATTGAATTCTGGCCTTTTGGCAGTTCAGTGGAGTCTCATGGGCTTTTTTCCTGCTCAGGCTGGCTTCAAATGGCGATCCTCAGATCTCAGCCTCCTGAGTAGCTAGGATTACAGGCATGAGTCACTGGCACTTGGCTCAGATTGTTTTATTTAAGATTGTTGTATCCTAGAAAATAGACCAATGTTCCATAGGATGCCTTTTTATCTGTACACTACGTTAAAGGCACTTGAACTTAAAAATATATTTTTATTGTTACTATAAACATGATATACCAAGGGATTAGTTTCATAATTCAGGTAATGAGTGCATTTCTTTTTGGACAATGTCATCATCCCTTAGCGCTCTCCCAGTTGTTCCCTCCTGTCTTCACCCACAAGTTATATATTTTCTTTTTTTTTTTTTTTTTGGTCCATCGTGGAGCTTGAACTCTGGGCGTGGGCACTATCCCTGCGCTCTTCAGCTCAAGCAGAGCACTCTACCGCTTGAGCCACAGTGCCACTTCTGGTTTTCTAATGGTTTATTGGAGATAAGAGTCTCACGGACTACCCATGTAATTGTAACCCCTCTGTACAGTATTTTCACAATAAAAAAAAAAAAAAGAGTCTCACGGACTTTCCTGCCCAGGCTGGCTTTCAACCGCAATCCTCAGATCTCAGCCTCCTGAGTAGCTAGGATTACAGGCATGAGCCACTGGCGCCCGGCTAATAGTTCATTTTCAACATATAGTGTCTAGTGAGTGCCACTGATGCATTTGTTCACCCTTTGTCCTACCACTTGAACTTTTTTAGGGAGATGCTGTATTCATTTTTGCTCTTAGTAGTTTTAAGTGAGGATAACAATTCAGAAAATTTCCTCTTAGCATTTTTCCATTTTCGTCAGACAGAAGAGAAAGGTCTCAGACACACTTTAAAACCCTGTGCCAGTAACTGGGCTTGAACTGGAGCTCTCATTTGGCTTTTTTGCTTGAAGCTGGCAATCTACCAGCTTGAGGCATACCTCCAATCCTGGCTTTTTAGTGGTTAATTGGACATAGAGTCTCATGGACATTTCCCCTTGGTCTGACTTCAAATGTAAATCCTCAGATCTTACCCTTTTGAGTAACTAGGAATACAAGCGTGAGCCTGTACAAACAAGCCACAGTAACACACTTTTTGTTGTTGTTGTTGTCAGTTGTGGGGCCTGAACTCTGGGCCTGGGCGCTGTCCCTCAGCTCTTCAGCTCAAGGCTAGTTCTCTACAATGAGCCACAGCACCACTTCCAGCTTTTTCTGCTTATGTGGTGCTGAGGAATCAAACCCAGGGTCTCATGCATGCAAGGCATGCACTCTACCACTGAGCCACCTTCCCAGCCCCAACACACTTAAAAAAATCATTTAAGGTATCTAGGAAAGCATCCACTAGCATTTTAACTTGTTCCCTTTCTTGTTTCAGGGACAAAATGCAGTATTAGTTGCCTCGAGAAAGTTGATGCTTTTGAAGAACGACATAAACATTGGGGAATTGACTACATTTTTGAAAAATTATATCTGCTTACAGAAAAGTAAAGATGATATAGATGCAATCAAGTTAACATCAATACGATTTTTTATTTTCTTTCGGCATTTAAAAATGATAGTAAGGTTTGATAATATAATAAATCTCTAATTTTTTTCTCATAAATCATAGATATTGCTCAAAAAACACACAAAACTTCTTATAGCTCCTTTAGAGAAGAGCATATAATTGGAGGAAGATATTATACATCTGTATGTCTTTTTTTGGGGGGTGGGGGTCCAGTCTTGGGGTCTGAACTCTGGGCCTCGGCGCTGCCCCTCAGCTCTTCAGCTCAAGGCTAGTGCTCTTCCACTTGAGCCACAGTGCCACTTCTGGCTTTTTATGTTTATGCAGTGCTGAGGAATCAGACCCAGGGCCTCATGCATGCAAGGCAAGCGCTCTACCACTGAGCCACCTTCCCAGCCCACATCCATATGTTTTATAGATCACAAGATGTTTTCACAGAAGACATTTCTTCTGTAATTAAAAAAAAAGAAAAATGTAATGAATGTAACTTAAAATATAGCATAGACATTGAAAAACTGTCATGTTTTATAAAATTTAAAATCACTGAAATAACACTTTAATAGGATTTAAAATAGTCCACAAAATTATGTAAAGTATTAACACTTACTATAAACATTAATCTTATACTCAGATCCTAACACCTCTTTTCAACATGTTTTTACCATGTATGGTTTTAAATGTAATTGAATCATGAAATAGATTAAAAATTTTAATTAGAATAAGATATAGAATAAGATATTTTTTCTCATATTATAAGAATAAATTTTTTTAATTTCTGACTCTGGTCGTTCTTGTTTCTTCTTTTTTAATCTTGCTTAAATGAATAAGTGTTATAAAGTTATGTACTTAGATCTTTGCCCCCCAAGACATCTGACAAGGGCTGCCTAATCAATAGAAAAGGAGCTCATGGTGAAGGGTAAACAAAGGAGGAGGCTGCAATGCTTGATAAGAAATGTATGCATTATCCTGCCCATGTAATTGTAACCCCTCTGTACAGTATGTTCTCAAATAAAATAAAATTAAATTAAAAAAAAAAAAAGAAAAGGAGCTCATAAACTAAAACCCCAAATAACCAGGAACCCAGTTAATATATGAGAGGATCTCAGAAGCTTCTCAGAAGAAGAAAAATTGGCCAGTAAACACATGGGAAATAGTCAATATTGCCGTAAAGGAAATGCAGGTCAAAACAACATTGAGATTCCATCTCACTTCAGTTAGAATGGCCATCATCAAAAATATGAACAAAATCATGCTGGAGGAAATGCGGGGGTGGGGTGGTGGTGGAAGGACCCCGATTACATTGTTGGCAAGAATGTAATGCAACCACCATGGAGACTGGAGATTCCTTGAAAACTAAAACTAGATTGATCCAGCAGTACCATTCTTGAACATTTATCCAAAAAATCACAAGTCAGGATACAGTAAAGACACTTGGACAACCATGACCATTACTGTACTATCCATCATAGCCAAATTGTGGAAACAGCCCAGATACACTATAACAAGAAAATGTGGTGTGATTGATTTCATACACACACACACACACACACACACACACACACGTTAAGTGAAGTAAGTCAGTCTCAGAAGGACAAAAGGCACATGTTTTCTCTCATGTAAATGATAGATCTAAAATATAAAGAAATATGAAAATACATACAAGGCCATAAGCATACATATACAATCAAATGGACTAAAATGTAGTATAAAAAGGATAGACAACTGACAGTTGAACAAAAAAATATCAGGCATCTGATATTCTTGTCTTGATATATGCCTGAGGGGAGTGTGGGCTTTGAGGGAGGGGTGTGATGAATGAAAAGAGGGATGGTGGGCAAATAGTCAATATTCAATGTATGTAATGGAGGTAGGTAACTTGGGATGGGTGGAGTTGGTATAGATGGAGAGACAATGATGGAAGGTAACTGATCAACATGCATTGTAGTCATAAGTTGTTATGTTGAAACCCCTATGTATAATTACATAAAGAAAATTAAAATTTAAAAATAATATTCTTAGGGCTGGACTCAAGGCTGTTCATTATAAAAGTTTAGATTCAAAATTGGTCAGTTTTTTTCATTAACAATCACATTTTGTTACATAAGAAACTCTCTCTAACCAATTGACGTCTAATGGTTTATATTGCTTAGCTCATATTAGTTAGGTGGTGTGTATTTTTCAAGATAAATGCTCATACTCTGGTCATTAAGGGAGAGGTTTTTGGACTCCATTAATATTGACAAAAGCCATGGATAGTCTCTTTAAATATAAACCTTAAGAAATGGAATGACTTGGAAAAAGCTGTGTTAAGCAAAGTAAGCTAGACCCAAATAAACACAGGATGCATGGTTTCCCTCATTTGTAATAACTAGAATATAAATCTACAAGTTACTCCAATGGATACTAAAAGACAAGTAATTACACTTGGACATGGTGAAACAGCACTCTAAACATTCACACAGTGAGAACAAAGGAGGATATTCTTAGGAGAGGATCTCAATGGCTCAATAGCTATGTATATGTGACCATATAAAATGATGCTTATCAAAATGAATCCAAGAAATAGAAATGAGGTTGTGGGGTTTTTTTTGTACTGTTTACAGTTCTTTTTTCTCCGCCCCCCCCCCCCTCTGGTTTATTCCCCTTTGGTTGCTCTTTTTTATTTCTGTACCTTTTGTCTTGAATATGTTTATATGATTTGGGGAGGGGAAGGGGAAGCATAGAAATGGTAGAACAAGTACTGAACCAATACAGTAGTGATACTCACTAGACACTATGTTGGAAATCAGGGGGTCAGGTGAGGAAAAAGTAGGAAAAAACGAGGGAGGGGGTAACACTGTTCAGGAAGAAATGTACTCATTACCTGACTTATGCAACTGTAACCCCTCTGTACATCACCTTTACAATAAAATTTAAATTTAAGGGGCTGGGAAGGTGGCTCAGTGGTAGAGCGCTTGCCTTGCATGCATGAGGTCCTGGGTTCGATTCCTCAGTACCACATAAGCAAAAAGAAAAAAGCCGGAAGTGGTGCTGTGGCTCAAGTGGTAGAGCGTTAGCCTTGAGCTGAAGAGCTGAGGGACAGCACGACCGGACCCCACCCCCAAAAAAATTTAAATTTAAGAAATGATAAGCCTTAAACACAAAGTTTCATGTGAACATCCTTAAAGTTCAGAATAGATGGACTGACTATCCCCTTCTGCCATGGACCTACTACTCAGATGCACCATGCAGCTGTTGCTTGCAATGTTTGCTCCCAGTATTTCTGGCTTCCCACCCACGGTGTGTGCTTACAGAAGTTATAAATTCCTGATTCCACTTCCACAACGAATTGAATGTAAGTGAAATCAATGACTCCCACCTAAAAATCTGAATCAAGTGGATGATGGGTCTCAGTTACTGAGAAATTTTCTTCTTCGCTTGTTCTCTGCTCAACTAGGAAAAATAAAAGTGACTCCAGCTGTGCACCGTGGCTTATGCCTATAATCCTAGTTACTCAGAAAGCTGAGATCTGAGGATCAAAATTCAAAGCCAGCTTGGGCAGGAAAGGCTCTTCTCGCCAATTAATCACCAGAAAACCCGAAGTGGCTCTGTAGCTCAAAATAGTAGATTGTTAGCCTTGAGCAAAAGAGCTCAGGGATAGTGACCCATGACTGATGGGAAAAAAAAGTGAGGGCTGGGAAGTTGGCTCAGTGGTAGAGTGCTTGCCTTGCATGCATGAGGCCCTACATTCGATTCCTCAGCACCACATAAGTAGAAAAAAGCCAGAAGTGGCACTGTGGCTCAAATGGTAGGGTGCTAGCCTTGAGCTGAAGAGAAAGGAACAGCAACCAGGCCTAGTGTTCAGCCCTCACGACTGAGAAAAAAAAAAGTGATTCCCTTCCCCAGCTTTCCATTGCAGCAGCAAAACAAAAATAAACAAAACACAAGAGAGACCAATTGAGAGTAGTAAGTTTATACACATGCATGCACACATCTATTTGGCTCTAATCAAAACTCTTGAAGAAAGATTAAAAATGTTTTTCAAAAATCAAAGTTGACTTCAGTCCTTACAGCTGTGACTTTCCATTGCTTCTTATTTAATGTATCTTATTTCTATTACAAATGCTGAGGGACAGAAGCTCATGGAGATAGGGTAGTATTCTGTACTTGTATCTTCAGCCTGCTCTGCTGCTTGAAGCAAATATCCTGATTTCTTCATTATGTATAGTTTTCATGTGTAAACTGAAAAAATGCAATTCTGTAGATCCTAGCCAGTGGATATTAATAGAAATTGGTTTCACTACTAATGTTAACTATCATTAATACACAGAGGAAAACTATCAAGGAAAGTAGCACATGGAAATGAGATATTAACATTCATTCATATGTCCATGTGCATATGTGAATATATGTGAATGTAGATACAGATGTATGTGAATGTATGCATATAGTAATAATATAATATAATATGCTGGTGTTAGGGTTTGAACTCGGGGCCTGGGCACTGTCTCTTAGCTTTTATGCTCAAAGCTGGTGATCTACCACTTGAGCCAAGCTCTACTTCCAACTTTTTGCGAGTTAATTGAAGAGAAGAGTCTTTCAGACTTTACTGCCTGACTGGCTTTGAACTGTGATCCTCAGATCTCAGCCTGCTGGATAGCTAGAGTTACAGGGGTGAGGCACTGGTGCCTGGCCACTTATTCATATTTTAAAACTAAAGATAATATGCTGCAAATCTGGGAAAGTCTAAGAAGGAAAACAAAAGCAATCAAGTTCTATTGCTGAAGATAATTACCTCTTAGATTGCTGTTTCTTTTTATCTCTTTGGTCTGCTCACACTTGTGTATGTTTTAACAAAGTTACAGTGTTATCATGGGTGAAGATTTGTATCTTTTATTTTCTCCTCTATTTCATCTGCCCTTTGATGAACTAGTAATTACTTTTTTTTTTTTTTTTTTTGTCGGTCGTGGGGCTTGAACTCTGGGCCTGAGTGCTGTCCCTCAGCTCTTCAGCTCAAGGCGA